GTTGCTCGAGGTATAGTTTTTATCTGAGTATTCTTGCTTTAATATTTTTTAAGAGTTAAAAAAACAATAACGATTTCTTGCCACGAACGCCTCTCAACATTCACCTTGTTGATCCTCACAAGTCACATGTTTATCATAAACGCACCACCACACAAGCTGAAGAAATGTTCACGTTCAATCTTTCGTTATAAACTCCCAAGTAACTTGGATGATACCACGTCACATAAAACCAAATCGATGCATTTGTTGATTCGTAAAACACCTTCAGCCGCACTGAACCACGACAAGTTTCTCATGAAATGGGAAATAAGAGTTTGATCCATAATAAAAACATTCTATATTGGGATTTTCTCTATAAAAAGGTATTTTCTTAAACCTCTTTTTTTATTATTAATTTTCACTTTCTTTCTCTTTGTTTTTGATCTTTGCTTGATGCATAAAACCTTAAGCCTAAAACTCTATTTATAGAGTTAAGATTCTAAACAATACAGTAAATTGCTATTTCCTAATGTTTGCTTTTTTTTTTATGATTTTCTTTTCTCCAATTTCTTTTATTGTTTGATTTTCCTTTTGCTTGTTTTCCTTGATTTTCCTTTTTACTTGATATTCACTTTTTTTTATAGAAAACGAATCTATTCCAACACTCTCTCTAGATTCGTTTGCTATAGTTTCCATTTCTCCCTCTTGAACAAAACGCCTTCATCTCCATCCTTTGTAGTCTCTTCATCTTTTGTCTCTATTGCTTTGTAGCAGTCTTCCTCTCCGTCTTTTATCTTCATTGCTTTGTAGCAATCTTCCTTGACTGGAAACTTTAGGGTTGACTCTGAACTTGAATTTTGAGTCTTTTGTGGTTGTGTCTTTTCTTCTCTTGCTTTTTCTTCAAGTAGCTCCCATCTGATAATGAACTTCTGATTATCCTCTTGCACCTCTATTAACTTCTTCCAATCTTTATCCATGATTGTACATGTCTTCACATCGAATAGAATTTTGTGACCTTTAGCCAATAA